TTTTTTCTTTTTGCTTATGTGGTGCTGAGGAATCGAACCCAGGGCCTCATGCATGCAAGGCAAGCGCTCTACCACTGAGCCACCTTCCCAGCCCTATCTCATGACTTTTTATGTCATGTTATTAGAAGAGTTCTTTGTAGTTGTCCCTCCTTGGTGGTTTCATCTTATACTCCTACTAATGTCATCTCATGAATCAAGTATCTTTTCTGACCACTACCATCTCCTCCTCCTCCCCTTCCTCCCCTCCTCTTCCTTCCCTCTTCTTCCTCCCCTCCTCTTCCTCTCCTCTTCTTCCTCCTCTCCTCCTCCTCCCTTCCTCCTCCTTCTCCTCTTCATCCTCCTTCTCTTCCTCCTCCTCCTTCTTCTTAAGTACTTGTACAAAGGAGTTACAATTCCATAAGTCAGACTGTGAGTATAATGCTTTTTGATATCATTCCTATTTTTGTTCCTGATCTTTTCTTTTGTCTTTTATTTTCCCCTCTGTTCCTTGAGAAACTTCCCAGGTTGCCATTTAATAATATTTGGTACTTCCCTCATCCTCTGATCTACTGGTGAAAGAAGCTTTCAATGGTTAAAAACAACTCACTTGTAATTTATTTTAATCAAAACAACCAAACAAAGTAGGTAATGTTTGTTACACTTATAGAACCAGTTAGGGACAGCAAGGATGTAGTAGAAAGAGCAAGGGCTTCTGGCATCTGATAGATCTGATCTGGGCTCCAGTCCCAGTTCTGGTATTTAGCTCTGAGCAAATCACTTGACCCTTCTTGGCCTATTTCCTTATCTATTCAATGAGGATGGTAATAACTATGTCACAAGATACTAATAGTGAAGAGAAAAAGAAGTAAATATGCAAAAGGATGTTATTAACAGGCTGATATTGCACTTCTCCAGACAGAACATCAATAAACTCTTTATTCCTTTGTACATCAAAGGTAATTGAAACTAAGAATCCAGAGACAAATCTATACATCTGAGGTTAACTGATTTTTCACAAGCTGTCTAAGACCTAAAATGGGGAAAGAATAGTCTCTTGAACAGCTGTACTGGACAATTGGGTATCCATATGAAAAAAATGAATGAAATTGGACCCCTACTTCACACCAAAAATTAAATCAAAATGGAGCAAAGACCTAAAGGTAGCAACTGAAAATATAAAACTCTTAGAAAAAAAGGGGAAAATCTTCATGGCCTTGGATTTGGCAGTAGGTTTTAAGATACAACATCAGAAGCATGTGCAGCAACAACAAAGACAGATTAACTAGATCTCATTGAAAGTAAAAACATTCAGCATCAAGGGACATTATCAGCAAAGTTACAATATAGCCTATAGAATAGGAGAAAGTATTTACAAATCATGTATCTGATAAGGGTCTAGTATCCACAATACACAAAGAACTCTTACAAGTCAACAACAAAAAGACAAACATAAAAAAATGGGCAAATAGATTCATAGTGGTGCATGGCCCAGTAATCCCAGTATGTTGGCATGCTGAAGCAGTAAGACCATGAGTTTCAAAGCAGCTTGGGCTACATAGTAAAAATCTTAAGTAGGCATTGATCCAAAGAAGGCATACAAAGTGCCCACAAGGACATGAAAGATGTCTGACATCATCCATTAGGGAAAGGCAAATCAAAACCATGGTGAGATACTATTTTTTACCCACAAGAATACCTACATTTTTTCTGTTCATACTTTTAAAATTTTCGTTAAGTAGTCATGCAAAGGAGTTGCCATTTGACAAAGCAGTTTATGAATACAATATATCTTGATGAATGTCATCCTTTTTTGACAGTCTAGGATCAAATTACAAACTACCTTTCAAGTTCCTGTTGCTTCCAGACCCCAAAATGGGTCAGAAACAATGAAGAGCCTAAAATCTGCCTCATTTCTGGGGTCAAAAGAGCATACGTGGAACATTCCTTTAAATGAGTGGTAATCAACCCCGGCTGAAGGTTAGAATCACTTGTGGATTTTTTTAAATCATTTATGCCTGGGTTTTGGTTTAGACTAACTAAATCAGAATCTCTGAGAAGCCCTGATATGTGGACTTTTATGCGGTTTGGGGGCGGGGAAGGTACATAAATCAAGTGATTCTAATATGAAACAGGATTGATAACCATAGCTTCATGGAGATCAAGGTTTATCTACTTAGCAACTAAGAACAGAGAAATTCTATACATGCAAAGGAATAGAGGCATCTATCATTACAGAGGGATCAAGTATTGGATACTGAGTGCTGGTGTGCATTTGTAGACACATACATGTGCACACACGCAACACACACAAATAGGGGAAAGATTTGAAAGAGATGAACAAGAGTATGGATAAGTTCAGATTGAAATTGAGCTTGAAGACAAGAGCAGCCAGCCTAGGGCTGGTTCTTTAAATGGAAAAAAAGCCTAGTTGCTTTTAACAAAGAAACTCCAGGATGGCATTCCTAGGAAGGGGGAAGTTAGCTTTATTTTGTCTATAGCTATAAACCTTTCTTCTTTCCCAAAAACTGTTAAGGGAAAAACTATCTAAGCAGGTTTCCACTAAAAGTGTCCAGGAGAGGGTATGATAGACTGTCTATATAACCATAATGAAGAAGGGAACTGAAAACATGCTTCCCTCCTCCCATCCTACCCACAAAATGTGCCTCAAGAACAAAGGCAACTTATATGAACAAGATATCTTTCCAGGTTGATTATGTTACCTAGCTCCTTTAGCTTGAAGGAAGTTATGTCTTTAAAGCAAATACTTCTGATTCCTCCCTTCAAAATATGGGTCTCCACTGCATCAAACTGTCTACCCTTGTCTTCTACCTCCAATAGCAGCTGCTGTGCGGGCTGATGACATTACTGGCTCCTTCACCTTGAAAGCAGCTATGTCCTTAAAGTAAATGTTTCTGATTCTTCCCTTCAAAATATGGGTCTCCATTACTTCAAACTGCCTACCCTTTGCCCCTACCTCCAGTAGGGGTTACTGTGAAATGGAAAGTCATTTCCTTCCTTACCATATCCTTAAAGCCTCCCAGAACAGCTGCAGTGATGATACCCAGGAACAGGCCGACAATGTTGAGGATGGTGGCAGACCAGAGCAGATGGTAAAGGTGGATAATATCCTGGCAGCTGCTGACATCAATGTATTCATAGTACCCACCGGTGATCTCCACCCTGCTGCAATGGGAGGAACAAAGATTATCAGTTCCCTGGCATCTGCCTTCCCTCAGAAATTTGGCTACCATATAGTTCACCAGGTGGGGAACTGCTATAGGGGACATCATAGCCATGCACTTGGAGAGCAAAATACGATAACAAATCAAAGTTTGATTACTGTTTATCTAAAAAAACAAGAGAAACTACTTGTCAGAGAAACTCTGGGATCTATCATTAGCATTATTCCTAGATAGAACTTCTATGATACTTTTTATCTACCAGGCATAGTGCTAAGTATTTTACAGACCAGAATATCACTTTCTTGGAGAGGCTACCCTGACCACCCAGTCCAATTGCTTTCAATCACATTACTAGCTGTAGACCAAATTGTATCTCGTCAAATTCATATGTGGAAGAAAGATTTAACCCTTAATGAGATTGTAAAGTTGACTCTCCATATGCACAGTTTCTGCATGTGTTCTACCAACCATGGATTGAAATATTTCTTTTTCTTTTCTTTGTTGGTCATGGGGCTTGAACTCTGGGCCTGGGCACTGTCCCTCAGCTCTTCAGCTCACGGTGAGTGCTCTGCCACTTGAGCCACAGCGCCACTTCTGGTTTTCTGGTGGTTAATTGGAGATAAGAGTCTCATGGACTTTCCTGCCCTGGCTGGCTTTCAACTGCAATCCTCAGATCTCAGCCTCCTGAGTAGCTAGGATTACAGGTGTGAGCCACGGGCAACTTGGATTGAAAATATTTTAACAAGTGAGTTGGCACTTGTTCTTGTACAGACTTTTTCGCATCCCTATTCTCTACACAAAGCAGTTTAACAGCTATTTACATAGTGTTTACATTGGATTAGGTGTTATAAGTTATCTGTAGATAATTTAAAGAATACAAGAGGCTATATGTAGGTTGTATAGAAATATTATGCTATTTTATATAAAAGATTGAGCATCTGTGTACTTTAGAATCAGCAGGACACTGAGGGCTAGAACCAATCCTCCTTGTATACAGAGAGACAACTGAACCAACTGTATTTGTAAATAGGGATTTTAGAAGATAATTAAGTTTAAATACTGACTTCAGGATGAGATTTTTCATCTGATGGAATTGACAGTTTTATAAGAGGATGAAGTCTAGAGAACTCCCACCAGAAGCTGACTCTGCTGATAACCTGATCTCGGAATTCCCAGACTCTGTAATTATGAGAAAATAAAATTCTGTTGTTAAAACCATGTTGTCTATGACATTTTTTATGGCAGCCTGAGAATACTAACACACTACCCTACTCTATTCCTCTGGAGCCATATCACTAGCTTAGTGATGTGTTTCTTCTTTATTGCTTGCCCTTCCAACTTGAATATGGTCTCCATGGGGGAAAAGGATTGCTACATTTAGTTCAGTGCAGTGGCAAACACATATTTAATGCTACATAAATACCATTTGAATTCATTAAATGAAAAATTTCTATCCTCTTAGATGTTGCAAAGCAGTTAACTTGGCTACTGGAATTGATAATGAATCTGAAACATGGTAATTTTTAACCTTGCACTCATAATTAAACATTCCAGAATCAGGATAATTACATGTCACTTGCCTGTTATAGGAACACTAACACAAAAAAATATCAAAGGTTGTCAGGTATAGTGGCACAAACTTGTAATCCCAGCACTTTGCAATCTGAGGCAGGAGTGTCAATGAGTTTGAGTAGCTTGGGCTACATAGGGAGACTCTCTCAAAAAAATTGGAGTAATCTCTACTGAACCAATGAGGGATTATACATACAAGAAGAGATTTTTAAACTTTACAAATTAATTTGAGGATTTTTTAAAAGTCAGTTTCTCAGGAATTTTAACCAGCATTACAATCATCAGATTATTTTTTCTGCTGGCATGAGGTATTGTGCTATTGATGTGTGCCTCTAAGGGTCCCACTGTGTGTATTTATGTATATGTGCATATGTCTTGGAAGAAAAGATAGTTAAACATGCAGAACCCAGCCCCAGTCCTACTGGATATGAAAGATTCTCTGGTGCTAGGATTCAGGAGTCTGTGGTAGTAAGCCTATCAATATAGGGGACCCAGTTTTCAATCATAAACTTCCATAGTGGAATTTTGAGGGTGCTACATTTAATTAAAGTTTGAATTTGACTTCAGTATTTTTAAGATTATGGGAAGGTGGCTCAGTGGCAGAGCTCTTGCCTTGCATGCCTGAGGCCCTGGGTTCGATTCCCCAGCACCACATAAGCAAAAAGAAAAAAAAAGCCGGAAGTGGTGCTGTGGCTCAAGTGGTAGAGTGCTAGCCTTGAGCTGAAGAGCTGAAGGACAGCCCCCAGGCCCAGAGTTCAGGCTCCACGACCGGACCCAAAAAAAAAAGATTATGTCTTAAATGTCTGTTGGTAAGCAAACTCTGAGTGTCTCTTGTGAGTTGGCACTATAGCCTTGAAGACAAGGATGGAAGAGTGGACAGATTACTGATTGCCCCACAAGGCACAGCTCTGCAGGGACCATCTCCTGAAAATGGCAGGCCTGTACACCGGTTGCATTTGGGATTGGAAGAGTACAATAGTGGCTTAGCAGTCAGCTTCTGATGTCCTTCAAATTCTCTTTGCTTACCTCCCAAATTATTTAAGTGTCTTCCATAGTGAACTTGGCAGTGAACTGCATTGAAATCCTCACTCTTGTTATTTTTTGTTTTTGCTGCCTGATCTTAACCAGCTTTCTCAGACTATCTGAGTCTAGGAGATTTAATGATAACACACATGAAAGCCATACTGTAGCACATATTATGAACACCCACAAAAACACATAGCAATATTTTGTCCCTTCCAAGAGCCACCTTTGGCAATGCATTTCAAAACTTTGAATTCCATGAGAAAAGCATTCATTCTTTAGAAGAACCAGCTTCAACACAGACATAGATGAATAGTTCAAGTATTCAGTAAATAGGGGCTGGAGATGTGATGCAGTGGAAGAGCTCTTGCCTAAGATGTGCAAATCTCTTGGTTCCATCCCTAGCAATGCAAAAAAAATTCAATAACTTTAGAAAAGGTATGTTTAGTTTCAATTTGAGTGATTCAATCCCTATTTAAAATTTTAAACTGAACCATGAGGCAAAAGCAAATTAATGTTTAGATACAGTTCCTATTTTAGACAATTAATGTGGTTTGTTTCTGTTTGAAATTCATGGTTTCATTTGGTCTAGTCTCTGGACAGTTTCCTCTGAAACTGCATCTTCCCACTGCCTCCATCCGAAGGCCGTTAAGCTTGTAAAACCACACTGCTGCCTGATTACTATTCCTAAAACATTTTTATTTAAACTATGCCATTCATTTAATCAGAACATTTCTATAGCTGTCCATTATCTTTAGAGGAAAATGTCCAAATTCCCACTGGCCACAATCCAGCTCCAAATAGTCTATACTCCAGCTATCCTGGAGTCCTAAGAAGCCCCAAGCTAACTCTAATGGGATTTATTTTGAATGTTTGCTCAGATTTCTCCTCTTCCATAGAAAGTAGTGCTCTCTGTTCTCTGCATGTCCTAATCTTTTCCACCATTCTAAGTTTATTTAAGTACTCTGGTGCCCACATAGTAGCTTATCTCCTGGACTCCCACAGCTTCAGACTGTCTATTCCTTTTAGTTTGCCGCACTGCATGTCAATCATTCACTTATTCCTTTAATTCAATATGTGCTACAACTGAGTCCAAGGCCACCATGATGTCTATCAAAACTGTAAGCTCTTGAAGGCAAGGGTCATCTATCACATTTCTTTGTGGTTCCCTTACTTCCTAGCACAGTGGTAGAAATGTTAAAGATCATGATTAAGTACTTAGTGAGTAAGTAACTGAGTGCAAACAGTTGCATTGATCATGAGATTGATTACCTAATATAAGTATGTACCCCTTGTTCTCCACATTCTTGTAAACTTAAGGAGACAGCCTCTCTGTATTTCAGTTGCCACTTATAATAAGAGACAGCAGCAGATCTTGGATAAAGTAGGAGGGCATCCTTGTAGAGGTCAGGGACCTGGGACCATTTGGTAATTCTTGGCAGATAGACAGTTCTCTCTCTCTCTCTCTCTCTCTCTCTCTCTCTCTCTCTCTCTCTCTCTCCTATCTCTTTCCTTTCTCTTTCCTCTTCTCTCTCTCTGTCACTATCTCCTCTCTAGTTCTCTCCCCTTCCCTTTCTTTCCTTTTCCTTTCCTTTCCCTTTCTCCTTTACTTCTCCCTTCCCTTCTCCCCCGGATCTCTGCTTATACACTACATTTTTCAGTTCGGTTCCAACAATCTTACTGAAAAATTGAGTTTCTTCAGGGAAAACTGTCTTCTGGCTCAAATTCTTTTAGAGCAGCCCCTGACACATAGTAGGAGATATATAAAAATTGTCAAAGGAAGCAATGAAGGCAAATAAACTTTTTTCATTTTGTTACCAGCTGAGGCAGTTCACAAACCACTCCATCTCCTTTAGGTTATATATTGAAAACCAGTGATATTGACTTGACCTCTCCAAAGTCAAGTGAGCAAATGAAAGCCAAAAGTACTTTAAAAGGCAGCCAGTGAAGAGCTGTGTCCTAGAGAAAGCCACCTTCCTTCACAAGGCTAAATGGAATAAGCTATGTTTGGTACTAAAACCTCACTACCCATGACATCAAAGAAGGTCTGTGGGTTCAAGGGGACAGTAAAATCTCTGTTTCTGTAGCACCGTAAAAATGACTGCCTGATGTTTTGTTCCCATTTTTTTTCTTGGCCTCCTTTCCAGGAAATAAACCAGAGGACCTGGCAATTGATTAAAAATAAGCTTTGCATGAAGAAAACAAACCTTCATTTGGCAAAATTAAAGTCTCCAAGCCTCAGAATGTTGGTTGCTTAGCTATATTTATGTCCCAAGTTTAGGTGTCATTGGCTCTGGCTGGAAGAAGTCCCAGGTCTAGGAAAATGTTTTCCTTCGATTGTGAGACTGTTCCATGGCCTGTCTCATGGCCTGAGTTTATGACCTGATGTAAAGCTAAGCAAGTCCTTTTCTACTGGCTCTGCCCTTGGAATCTGGGCACCACAGATTACTGAAAGATGCCTGGCACTGAATGCAGATACAAAATATGTGAAAGCCATTTCTAGACTTGAAGATCTTTAGGGGCCATGTTCCCAGGACCCCTGTCAGTTATCTAATGCAGTATTTTCTTTTTCTCATAAAAGAAACAAATTCTCCCCTGGACTGCCACAGTCCTTTCAACAAATGTCACTCACTTTTCATCAGCTCTTTACTCATGGCTAGCCCTGTGATAGAGTACATACATAAGATTATGTCATTCTCCCTGCTCTTTGAGTCCTCATAGTTTAGCACAGTCCCTCATTTCTTTATTAAAAACAATAGTGGTAGCTGGGTTATGGTGGCTCACACCTGTAATCCTACCTACTCAGAAGGCTCAGATCTGAAGACAGTGTTTAAAAGATGACACTGGCGGGCTGGGAAGGTGGCTCAGTGGTAGAGCGCTTGCCTTGCATGCCTGAGGCCCTGGGTTCGATTCCTCAGCACCACATAAGCAAAAAGAAAAAAGCCGGAAGTGGCACTGTGGCTCAAGTGGTAGAGCGCTAGCCTTGAGCTGAAGAGCTGAGGTACAGCGCCCAGGCCCAGAGTTCAGGCCCCACGACTGGACCCCCCCCACAAAAAACCAAAAAACAAAAGATGGCACTGGCATGAAAGATTGTGAGACTTTTCTCTCCAATTAACCACAAAAATTGGAGTTGTGGCTCAAGTGGTAGAGCACTAACCTTGAGCAAAAAAAAGCTCAGGGACAGAACCCAGGCTCATAGTTCAATCCCTAGGATCAGCAACATTTTTTTTAAGTGATAAAACTTGCTTTAAGAAAGTAAGTCAGATATCATGAAATTCAGATTGATAAATAGTATTTAAGACTTCTCACTTTAAAGAAAAGAAAATAATTACCCAAAGGCTCTGCTAAATCCCATCCTTTTTCAGAAACACATCCACAACAGAGAAAAAGAGTGTCTGTAAGGGATCACTTCACCTCCCTCTTTGGGCCTCCTCTCAACTCCAGATCTCAGGCCTAGTTCCAGGAAGTTTCTAGTCCCTACCCCAGGAGGCTGGGAAACAGGGAAATTAAAGCTGGAGAGAAGCAATAGACAAGCGTAGCAATGAGAATGGAGGAAGCTGGCAAGGAAATAGAGAAGAAAGAGAGAAGATAAAAAGAGAGGGAAGGATGGAGCAGAAGCGTGGATTAAGGAGAATCAAGAGGAAAGATAGCAAAATAACCTCAATTCCCCTAGAATATGTTTCATGTTCCTTTGATCAGTTTTTGAAAAAATGGTCTCAGGAAGTGTAATTATAACCAGCTCTCAATCATAGCTGCTAAGGAGAGAAGTCATTTACAAGTGTTAGTTATTATTACAACATGAATAATTGAACCTTCCATATAATCTCTAAACCTCATTTGCATCTTTAAATTTTTCTTTCTCCACTATCAACTCTTTGAAGGAAATGAAAGTCCTGTTAGTAAAGAAGGGAAAAGGCTGAAGAGGCTCCTCTCTGTTTCCAGCCAGCCAAGTCTTAACCAGACACCAGAGAAACAGGCCCGTAAATACCAAAAGCTGGGAATGTGTGTGAAGAGGAGGTTGCGTAAGTCTGGAGCCTCTAGATCTGGCTCCATCCAGTCCCCACCCCCACCAGTTCCTCCTTTACTCCCACCCTTGGCCCCAGCTCTCTTGCACTGAGTCTGAAAAACAATTGTTCCTGGGCAGGAGCTAGCTGAAAACACCTGACATGATGGAGGAGACGGTTTTTTCCTCTCCACATTGCTATTAGATTCTACCTTGTCTGTTTCTCTTAAAATATGATGTGCTTTCTATTGTTCCCAAACCAATTTAATCTAGGCTCCATTCTCTGTAGCCTGTGCTATTGCAGTGGCCTCCTAGATACCCACAGTCTCTACCATTTAAGTCTATCTTCCAAGCTGTATCCTTCAATAGTTTCCAGTTGTCTATTTATGCTAAATCAAAGCCATTCCTAGGGTCAACTGATTTTCTAATATCTGACCTCTGGTTTACAGCTCTGTTCTCACCTTCTACACACTTTCTGTTACTCCTCCACCCCTTACCTCCTGACAAGTATCAAGAATATGTCTTTTCTACCTCTACCACATTTAGGTTTGTCTCTTAACTTCTTTTTTTATATATTTTTTGGGGGGAGTCCGGTCGTGGGTCCTGAACTCTGGGCCTGAGAGCTGTCCCTCAGCTCTTCAGCTCAAGGCTAGTGCTCTACCACTTGAGCCACAGTGCCACTTCTGGCTTTTTTCTTTTTGCTTATGTGGTGCTGAGGAATCGAACCCAGGGCCTCATGCATGCAAGGCAAGCGCTCTACGACTGAGCTACTTTCCCAGCCCATCTCTTAACTTCTTAATTAGCCTTTATGTGTCAGTTCCTACACTGCATCCTCTTCAACACTACTACCATCTTCTGTAAACTGCCCTTCATTTATTTACACCACCCAGGTCATCAGGATATCCACACAATCCTCACTACATCTATCACACGAAACTGATATCAGTTGGTCATATGTCTGTCTTCTATACTAATCTTTTGAGTATGACAGTGGAAATTCTATATTCCTAGTACCTAAATATGTTTTGAAAGAAATAATAAATGATATTTTGTCTGTTGGAGAGCAGAGAACCAGATGGTTATAGCAGAAGTAGTATCAGCCCCATCCATGCCTCAGGGCTTTTGCATGCAACACTGTAGCTTTACCAGGTATGTAGGTGGATTGTCTCTCATGACATTCAGATTTCTATACAAATCTTACCTTCTCAAAGAAACATTTCCTGGCTGCTCTATCTAACACAGCACACAACACACACACACACACACACACACACACACACACACACACACACCTCTACTTCATGAAGATCTATCTTCTCCTGTTTCATTTTTCTTCAGTATTCTATCACCACCTAGCATTGTATTATGTTTTTTGTGTTAATTGACTCTGCCCTATTAGGACAAAAGCTCCATGAAGTAAGAACTTCTATTTTATTTGCTTCTGATTCTCCAGCGTGTAGTACAGTGCAAGACACTGAGGTGCTCAATAACTGTTGAATGTTGAATAATCTTATATAAATGCTCAGTTCAATTCCTAATTCTAATTTTCCACTTTTGTATGACTTTCAGCTAGATATATTTCTGCTGAGCCTTACTTGGCCATCTGTAAAATTAAAATATCTCTACCTACCTAACAGGCAAAAATTAAATGAGTTCGAGTATGTTAAAGCACTTAACACAGTATCTGGTATGGAAAAGGCAGGAAATATAACTGAAATCTATGGACAGACCAACACCATCTACTCACTTCTGCGGTCCCTATCACTGACGCTTTTCCACCCTTGGCTCTTGTCATATCCAGTGTGGATATGTACCTGGGGCTTCATACTTACTTTCCACAGTTGTAGAGGTCACAGCAGAAGCAAGTATTACCCCGGATGCGAGGTGTGCAGAATCCACGGCTGAGATGAGGGCAATTCACCTGAGGGTAAAGTACAGCAAGAACATGAGCTAACATCCAATAGAAGGAAGGACCCTTTGAAAATGTGAGTTAGTGACTGATGGAGACAATAAGGATGGCTGTGACATGATTACGCCTATACATGAGAGGGAGGAGACTGAGCAGGGAAGTGGTAAAATGTATGCATAAAGCAAATCATTGTGTAGCTCGGCTTGCATTCAGCCTTAGCCATAACCCTTAGTACCCCAACCCTGAAAGATGGAGATGGAGAGGAGGAAGGCCAGGCAGAAGGACAGATGGAAGAACAAATGGACAGTAGAGAATGAGGACAGAATGTGAGAGGAAACCAGGACACAGATAGAAAGAAAATTGGGTAGAGAAGAAGACAGAGGGGCCATCACATGCACTCTGAAGTACAATAGTACCTCTCTAGCTGCCTGGGTAAGGTTCCTCATAACCCTCGCAGAAGGAGAATTTTTGGTTGAGGAACTTATGACCTTACACAGGAAAAATAGGGTTAGGGGGACCAGGGTTACAATCAAACCTATGGAAGTCATTATCCGTATTTTCACAATCACCAGGTTAACACAACAAAATCATTACAATGAAAACAAGATAATATATATGACAGTTTATATACTTTGAGTTTGCAAACATTTTTTAAAAAATTAACAAACACTTATTTCCATTTACAATCGCTTGTTTGCAAGAAAACTTCCAGGTTCCCTCCCCTATCTGTACACAATAAAGTGATTGTAAATTTGTTTTGCCTTTGTTATAGAGAACAGTCACAGTAAATAGACCCTTTTTATTCTATATTGGCTCCTTCATCCGAATGTTTACTGCCTTTGTGATAAATGTCAGCAATACACATTTCTATTCCTCCTTTCTAACCCAAGAAGAGTTAGAAAAAATGGTGACTTTGTAGTTGGTAACATAAATGACTAAAGCAAAATATAAATATTTGTGAGGATGCCTGGGCAGCAGGATTATCACTCTACCTGACTCTAGAGGTACCATTTAAGTCATTTTGTGTAAAATGGCTTCCCCTGAAACTGAACCATGAAGCGACCATTTTGCTTCCACCTTGCCTTTCTTTCCAATAACATGTTTATTCTTTTTCTGACTGTTCTAGAAGGTGACTGACTTTCAGTTTAAGGTTAAAAGAGTACCAAATTATCATATCTTCTGGAAACACAGAGTTTCATGCAAAGAAATTTTTGGGTTAGGGAGACATTATGATTTACTGAAAAGAAAGATTTCCAAAAATGTTGCAACTGCCCATTGCCTCTAGTTTTATGAGACCCCATGGAACACAAGAAGAGATAAGTGATGTGTAGGGAAGGAAAGAGATCTTATGTACCTTCTTACAGATTATTAGGTTAGCCTCTTGTGGGGGACATGAAACTGGGCAGACTGAAAATTTAGGCCAAAGCCATAAAGTAGACCAGGTTGCTCAGCCCTTATTTGGCTTCTAGGCTTTTCCCATGTGTTGGACTCAGGCTCTGCTTCTTTAGACTAGACCTAATACCTTGGTGGGGCTCCCACCTTCTCCCAGCCAAGCACTAAGTCCAGGCAACTGAATCATCTACAAGATGGGGGAGGAGTAAGCCCTGTAGACACTTTTTCATCTACACTAAGAGGCTGCTGGTTAGCTGCACAGGGGATCCTCTGGTTAAAAAAAAAAAAAGAAATCTGATTAGGCCTCATGAGATTCCAATCTCTGACTTCACTAACATTGTTTTCTGACTCATGGGACAAATCAGCTAGACATTCAGCAGTAAACTCCACACCAAGTAAAAGGACGAAAAGAAAAGTTTCATGTAAAATAAGAGAGTCTTCTGGGAGGTAAAGATAAATAGTCTCATTCTCTGGCTTACCTCCTCAGCTTCTCTCTGGGATGTCTTGGGGACATAGTGGCACCGGTTAGCATACAGAGGTTTCAGATCCTGGAAAAAGAAATGCCAAACCCAGTTTTATCTTTGAAAAAGAAAGCAGTTTGGTAATAAAATATTTAAATACACACACACACACACACACACACACACACACACACACACTAGCAGGTAGGCTGAGTTATTTCTGAAATTTGCTCATCTAAGGAACCTGAGAATATAAGGATAAGACAAAAATGTTCTAGTAATTGTTTCCTATTGGACTACTTAGTTAATAAAAATTTAGGAAATCAACGGAGAAAGAAGTTACTTGAAATTTTGTTTCTGCTTTTTTTTTTTTACTTTTGGCCTTTTCTACTTGCAAATAATCCCCAATTAGTAAGATTCCAAACTCAAGGTTGTTGTAACAATACACTTCCAAATGGAGAGAGAACACCTTCAATGGTGAAGTCTCATTACCTACGGGGGACTAGACAAGGACTGCTGACTTGTATACTATTGTCATTTCCACAGATTCCACAGAAGGAATTGTTCAGGAGGTGATAAGAGATCACTCAGCAAGGGATGCAAGCTTCATCTTGGAGGCTTACCAACTTAGGTGGGAAGAGCTGGAAAGAGAAACTGCTTTATGTTGAATGTCTATACTAGGCCCTCTTAAGGAATGTTGATAACGATTATTTAATTTTATTTTCATGCTGATCACAAATGGTAGGTTACTGTTATATACCTCTGGAAGCGAAAGAAACTATGATTCAGCAAAGTAAAGTGACTTTCCCAGATAATTAATGGCCAAAGGTAGGAAAGGGAAAGGAAGGAAATATGAGACAAGAAAGAGAAGAAACAAGACAAACATATAGGGATGTGGTAGAAAGTAGGTCTTGGGAGAAGTTCAGATTCATTCAAGCCAAAGAAACATGACAAGATGATGTTAAAGGATGTTGTTAACAGATCGGCTAGCACTTACCACTCAAGCTATGCTGGGGTAGAAATGTACCTTTCATTTAAGGTAGCCAACAGATATTGCCAGTGATTAATAAAACTCTAAAACTTCTTGGGTATCAGCGAGGACTGCCAGATAGCTTAGAACAAGTACAGTGTAAGTAGAAACATTTTCTTAAAGTTTTGTCCAGCCTTATCCAAAGTTTCTGAATCAATGTTGTAGTACAACTATTAACTTCTGGTTGTACAGAGGGCCTATATTCAGGGGCATGTAAATGATCATAACAGGAACATTTCTAGTAAGTAGAATTAAGATTTTTTTCCATTGCCTTTCACTGAAGCCACTGATCAAAAAATGTTAGGAGTGTTGGAAATGCAAATCAAAACTATAATGAGATGCTGCCTCATACCCAGGTTAGATAATAAGAGTTGGTGAACATGTTGATAGATCAGAATCCTTATATACTGCTGGTGACAATGCAAAGCAGCCACTTTGGAATCTGGCTGTTCATCAACCAAGTAAACATGGTTATATTACCTGTCAATTCTAGATCTCAATAGAAAATGGAAGGGAAATGAACATGAAAATATATTTCCATGCAAAATTTGTCCATAAATGTTTTATAGCACTATGGTCATAATAGCCAAAAAGATGGACACAACCTAAATGCCCACCAACAGGTAAACAGGCAAATAAAATTTAGTATATCTAGACAATGGAACATTAATAGGCCGAAAAAGTAATATAGTACTAATCTATGCTTCATTATGGATGAATATTGAAAATATCACACTAAAGAAGCCAATATGTATGAAATATCTAGAATATGGATATGTATAGAAAAAGAATGCATATTAGTGGTCACTTAGGGCTAGTGAGGATGCAGACAAGGATGCAACAGGTAAAAGGTGCAGTCTCTTTCTTTTTTTGAGGGGGGGGATCCGGTCGGGGGGCCTGACCTCTGGGCCTGGGTGCTGTCCCTCAGCTCTTCAGCTCAAGGCTAGTGCTCTACCACTTGACCACAGCGCCACTTCCAGCTTTTTTCTTTTTGCTTATGTGATGCTGAGGAATCAAACCCAGGGCCTCAGGCATGCAAGGCAAGCGCTCTACCACTGAGCCACCTTCCCAGCCCCTGCAGTTTCTTTTTGAGATGATAAAAAAAAATCTCCTCAAATCAACTGATGATTGCCTATAACTGAGTACAGTAAAAATCACTCTTTAGATGGGTGAGTTGTACAGAATATAAACTATATCTCAATGAAGTTATTAAAAAACATCAGGAGCAGGAGGAGAGAAAAGGAAGCCATTTTAGCTCACAATGCCATCAAAATCTACTTCAGGTTTCTTAGCCACTAGGCCTATGTTGCCATGGAGACTGCCTCAGAGTGAATACCACTTGTCAAATGAGGATGATAATGCCTGCCCTACATATCTCACAGGATTGCCATGGGCTTCAAATAAGATAATAGATGTGAAGAAACACAAAAATGCTAAACGGATGACACAAACATAAGGAATTAGTGTTATTAAGATGGGTCTTATTCTTCTGTCACCTTGCACTAATATTGACTCAAAATGGACCAAAGATTTCAACATCAGGCATGAAACATTGAAACTACTACAGAAAAGAATAGCAGGAACAGAACATACATATTGGCAAACAGGAACTTTCTGAATAGAGTTCCAGGGGCTCAGCAAAATGGAGAGATAATAAAAAAATGGGTTTACATCAAACTAAAAAGTTTCTGCACAGTTAAGGACATAGTTACTAAGATAAAAAAGGCAGCTTAGAGAATGGGAGAAGATCTTTACCAAGTATATATCTGACAAGAACCTAATATCTAGAATATACAAGAAGCTCAAGAAACAAACCCTCCAGATATCAATAACTCAATAAATGGGCAAAAGAAATACATAGAGACGTCACAGAAGAAAAAGCAAGAATGGCCGATGAACATGAGCAATGAACATGAAGAAATGTTGAAGATCCCTGGCCATAGAAGAAATGCAAATCAAAGCAATATTGAGATTCCATCTCACCCCATTAAGACTGGCCATCATCAAGAATATGAACAAGAAATTCTGACAGAGATACACAGGGTAGGGTGGGGGAAGGAACCCTATTACACTCTTGGTGGGAATGTAAACTAGTGCAACTACTCTGGAAGGTGATTTGGAGATTCCTTAAAAACCTAAACACAGAACTTTTATATGATCCAGCCATACCACACTTGGGCATATACCCAGAACATAACAAGCCAGGATATGGTAAAGACACCTACACATCCATATTCACTGTTGCACTACTCACAATAACCAATTTGTGGAAACAGCCCAGATGCCTTACAGCAGATGAATGGAGTAAGAAAATGTGGTACATATACACAGTGGGATATTAGTCATTCATTAGAAAGAATAATATATGCAGAGAAATAGACGGACCAAGAAAAAATTATGTTAAGTGAAGTAAGTCAGGCTCAAATAGATAAACAGTGCATGTTTTCCACCCATATGTGGAAGTTATATCTAAAATGGAAACACATGGCAACAAATACACACAATCAAAATGACTAAAGGATAGTAGTATGCTTAGAGAAGGAAGTCAAGGGTGTAATTCCTTTGAACCATTAATAAACAAAATGAATACCAGGAAGTTGGAACATGTTCAAGGGGGAGCCAATGAGAGATGGGGTACATGAATGGAGGGATGAAGGAATGATCAATAAATACAGTCATTACATTCAATATAAATTATGTCAAATTTGAACTTCATACCTTGAGGGCAGGGATGGGAAGGGGAAAAGGGGAGAACAATGGAAGGGGTGACATTGATCAAGTGTCCTCATAACCTGACTTCTAGGATTGAACCCCCCTTGTAAAACTACTTAATAAAAATAAATAAATATATTTAATGGAGAAGAATGGGACAGGAATGAAAATATGATGGAAGAGGTGAATTTGCTTAATGTATCCAGTATACTAGTATGAAAATATCACTGTGGAACCTTCTTGTATTACAAATGTGTATCATTTCAAAAATAAAATAAAAATTAAACATTTTAAAGTAGCAAAAAGATGGGTCTTATTGATTCCAAAATAGCATGAATAATATGATTTATGCTACAAAATAGGCATACATGGTGGTAGAAGGGGGAGAATGCAGTCAAGAATTCGTTGTAAATACCACAAAATTAAGAAAAGTAAGGGAATAGGTGGGTGGAAAGGGGATGATAATATTGAAGGGGTGACACTGATTAAGACACTATATTCATGAACTGTTTTAGCACCTACTTTGTACAACTACTTAAAGACAATTTTTTTTCAAATGAGCATACATTTAGGAGATAATAAGAAATGCTATGACAGGTTGGTAGAATTATGTTAAGCATTACTGATAAGATGGGGCCTGCAGTTCATGCCCATAATCCTAGCTACTCAGAAGGCTGAGATCTGAGGATCACTGTTCGAAGCCCGCCCAGGTAGAAAAGTCCCTGTGAGAGTCAGAAAAGTTTGATCATCTGACAAAAGGAGACTCTGTTGTCACTGCTTATTCATGTGGGCTGTTGAAAGGGAAAGCTGCTGAAAGCCACAGAAAATTTGAGTGCTTACAACAAGTCACATGGCTTCCTGCTGTTCTCCCCACTCCAAACTAGTTCCAAGCCATTCCCCTACCCCAACCACTTGTTCCCTTTGTAAATCTTACTCAGGTTTCAATGGCTTATCTCTAGACTTTCCACAACTAGGAAGCTTACCCTGACCTCTGGAGTCCACAGTGAACTACTTGGCACTTGGGGTTTATACTCCTAGTTTGGATTCGGTTGTATAGATGCTTGTGTGTCCACTGATGTTCTCACCCTGACTATCAACACTCCAGGACCCCGGCTTTCCTCTTGTGTAATCTCCTCAAAATACTTAAGACAGTGTTGAGCATCCAGTACACATCCAAAGGTGTTCTGATGGATTGCACATGTACTTTAACCCAGAGCTAATAATACTCACAATGTGTCTGGCAGCAAAGACTCCATCAACTATGGCACAACAAAAAGCTGCAATCACACCAAAGCTGATAAACACGATAGAAGCTACCAGCTGCAAGGAGAAACAAAAGTGATGGTTATTCTTCCACACTTGATGCTTCTTGAGATAGGCAATCCCCAAGAGATTGCCATCTAAAGCAGAACTTTAGCGTATCATTCATCAGGATGTTATTTTTAGTCATGCAGGATTCAGGGAGGGAAAGAAGGGAACACTGAAGCACTTTCTATATTTCCAGAGAACAATAAGAAATTCACTCTCTGAACACCAAATGAAGAGGAATCTTGCTGGTATCCAGCATGCTATCCATAGAGGAATCCGATTGCACAGATCTTTCAAAGCATCATATGACTCAGAAAATCTTGGACCTTTTATATCATATTATCCAACCCTCTATTTTATTTATGTGAAAATGGAGGCACAGTGAAAGGAAATGTTATTCCCAGGGTCTCCATCTAGTCTATGGGAGTGTCTGATCCCACCAACTCCTACTCCAGCATTCTTTGCATTTCCTCACACAACTTATACCACAGCATAGTGGACATTGATGATAAGGGTAATATGAAGGGCCTGTATAACCCCATATGGCCTTCAGCATCATTGAAGAAAGAGAACACTCAACTTGCTAGACTTAAATGTCATAGACAGTTTTTACAAGGATTGAAGTTAGTGAAATGGATCCGTTTTGTAGGGTGTATATGGAAACTTAGAAATAAGAAAAATGGGGGCTGGGAAGGTGGCTTAGTGGTAGAGCACTTGCCTTGCATGCATGAGGCCCTGGGTTTGATTTCTCAGCACCACATAAGCAAAAAGAAAAAAGCCGGAAGTGGTGCTGTGGCTCAAGTGGTAGAGCGCTAGCCTTGAGCTGAAGA